ACATATATATATATAAAAATTACATATAGAATATTTAAATGCTGAGTTGACTTAAAAGCAGGCGCAGCGCAGTAGCTGTATTAAGTTAAAATTTGATTTGGTTAGGAAATTTGCGTAAACTTCTTAATTAAATACTCTACTGTAGTACTCTGAGACAAAGCTTTTACGCCTATTTAGAGCATTTTAACAACCTAAGACTTAAAAAAAAATGGGTTACTAAACAAATAGTCAGTTACTTATATTGAATATTACATTGAATTAAAAAACGTATATTAAGTGTTTATATCAAAACCTTTAAAAAAAGAAATTTATCCCTATTCTCTTTATGTTCCTTATCAGTGTAAAAAAGTAATACCAAAAGGTTCCTCAATATCACTTCTGAAAAATACAAATTCCTAAAAAGCTAATTGAAAAAATCTTGTTTTAGATACAATAAAATTTTATGAAAATTTTCTAATATCTTTTGATAATAATGAAAATATTAAAAATATTTAAATTACTCATAAGTACGCATTATTGTTTTTCAAAACAAAGCTGCCCCTTCCTTCCCCACAATATCGTAGCGAAGGGCCCGCAATCAGGGGATGGCCCAAATTTATTTAGGGCTCATGCCAAATTTTTCAAATTTTTTTTTAAAGTTTTCATTCTTAAAAATAATATGCTTCATAAACATGGCAACATTAGCAATTTTTGCTATTATTATATAGCTAAGAACTACAAACACTTTTTGATACTACTTTTTTAGCTTTAATAATAATCTTGACTAATACTTTAATTAGTGATTTTTTTTATTTATATCTAAAAAATTAAAACAAACTGTGTTAACTCATAAACATGTAATTTAGTTAAGTGATAAGTATGATGTCGTAAGGTATTAAAGCAAAGTACAATACTGTAAATGTACAAAGTACAAATGTTAAACTTATTAATTTCTAACAATTGTACTGTTTTTGAATATTTTATACCCAAGGTTAATAACAAAGAAAATGTATGATTTTTGGGTTACTCCACATATAAAAACCTAATCCGAGAAAAAAAATCTGCTTGGCATATCAACTGCTCAACTTAATGGAAGAATAATAAGCTTAAAATAAACAGCTATCTTCTTAATCGTTTCGTAAAAGCTGAAATATTCAAACCAAAAAGAATACATAAAAAAGAAATGATATTAAAATTAACGAGAATAAAATTCTCTTGCATATCAATATGGCTTTCTTCACCATAAATTATGGGAGACTACTCTAATAGAGACTTTTGATTTTATTTTATCTTTTACAGTATTTCACCAATTTATTGCTGTAATCTTGATTTCGCCAAAAAAATGTAATCTTGATTTCGCCAAAAAATGTAATCTTGATTGATAAATGATGTAATCTTGATTTCGCGTTGATTATCTACCTTAAATCAGATTTATGTTAAAATAAAGATATTTCAGAATAAATGGCAAACAAAATAAAAAGGTATAATAAATCAATCCCTAAAAAGCTTAAAACATGGTTCTCAAGTTAAATAAAGTGTTTATTAGACCGCATCATAAATATTCAGTGTCTGTTTTGGCTTTTTTAATTTTGGCTTTGTTTTTTTGTTTTTGTTTTTATTTGTTTGTTTTTGTTTTTGTTTGTTTGTTTTTGTTTTAGTTTTTGTTTTTGTTTGTTTGTTTTTGTTTTTGTTTTTGTTTGTTTGTTTGTTTATTTTTGCCGTCAAATAACTTTTACACTTTAAAAGTTTATAAATAAAAACACTAGGGCGAGTAGAAGTCATTATTTTGTCTTATCACTGAGTCCCAATCATACGTATTTACAATAACCGTATAATATATTTATACTTTACAAACTATTTATTGAAAATAATAAATGTAAAAATAAGTAACAATTAGTTTAAGAAATACTTTTCGAACAATATTCATGTTAAAATAATCAAGGAAACTAGAAAAATCAAAAGAAAAGTAAAAAAGAAAAACAAAAAATAAATAAGTTAATTAAAGAGCACGTATTTACAAGAGCCACATTATATACGTATATTATACGTATATTAAACGTATATTTATTGAAAAATATAAAAATAATAAATATATAACAATTTGTAATAAAGTAATATTTAAATAAAGAACAAAAAATTAAAAATAAAAGAGTACTTAATTTACAAAAACCGTATATTTATTTATATTTTAAAACCAATTTGTATAAAAGTAAAATAAATAACAATTCATTGATTTTCAAAGAAAAGTATTCAAGAACTCAGATTTCGATAAAAACTTTTAAGATTAGAGGAAACACTATAACTGAATTAATGAAAAAAAAAAGTTGAGAAATTCTGAGACATATTTTATATAATTAAATTTTAGTTTAAAAAAAGGATTTAAAATCGGATATGTTAAAATATATAAGTAATAACACCTGTTTTGATTCATTTATAAACTGTTGAATGCTAATTTTTTTTTTATTTGCAATATTAGGAAACTTTTTCCACAAATAAGGTCTATGATATTGAATGGTGTATGTAATTTGTTTTGAATTATCTTTAGGGACAATGTAGTTATTATCTGAAAATTTTGTCGGGTATTTATGTACTACTTTTTTAAAATAGGACTGAAATATTTTAGGAGGTTGTTCCCATCTTTATTTTATACATGAACATTAAAACTTGGTGTAAGTTGATTTTATAAACGTTTAATGCGTAACGCAGAAGAGCATGGTACAATTTTATCAGCTCCAAATAATGTCCTTCTTATTTAAAAACTGATATATTTTTTTTGTTTTTTTTTTTGTTCTTTTTTGTTTACATTGTTGTTGTTGTTTACAAAAACAAGCAAACAAGACTTCTAAAAGAAGATCATAATGATTTTATCATTAGGCCGTATGCAGGTCGATCTGTTTCTTTCATCCCGTTGCTCAAACTCGGGGTTTACGTTTTCAGTAGGTAAACTTGCGTGTTAACATTTATTGAAACAAAAAGATAAATGTTTACAACATCAAACACCATACTTTACCTATAATAAGTATTTTTCTGTTCACCTTTCGTTCAGGCGTGTCGTGTTCGAGATTTATCGATAGAATAAATTTTTGTTTACATTTTGATAAACGTGTAAATTAAAGAACGAATTTACCGCAGCGTTTAATAAAAAACAAATCAAAAATAAGGTTATGCAAAATATAAAATTAAAAAAAAATTGTTATGAAAATAAATGGCGGCAGTTAAAATTTGCTTGATTCATTTTAACAACGTTGTGAATCACAACCCAAGCAAAATTATACGAACTAAATTCGTATTTGCGCAAAATAATACGTAAGGTACGTAAACTTACGTCTATATGACGTATTAAATAGTACGTATCTTTTAATCCGTATGTTTACGTATTAATACGAATTTAAACTAAGAAATAATATCCTAAGGCTAAAATACGTATTTTTACGTATTTTAAAACACTTACACAAAATTTATTTGCGGTTAAAAATGCTAGCTAAACATTTCTACGGTCTCTTTTTATAAATAAGATAAATGACTAGAGGCGTATGATTTTTTTTCAGCAATTACCACTATATTATATCAGTTATATATACTAATATATACAGTGATAGGTATACAATATCATAGAGTATTTAATCAAATAATATTTAATTTTTATTAATTTAATTTAACATTTAACTTGAATATTTAATATTTTAAATTAATATTTAACTTTTAAGGCAATTTTTAATAAAAAACAAACAATGTCATTAGAGGTTTTGATAAAGTTCAACTAGTTATATTACGTAGAGTTATAATTTAAATTTTCATCATTATAATAATTAAAATAGTATTATATGATATATAGGGTAAAGAAGGGTAATAAGATCAGCGGGGCAGTAGGATCTTATAGCTATATAATATATACTATATTATGTAGTATATATTATATAGATATAAGATATATTATTTATATATATATATATATATATATATATATATTATATATATATATATATATATATATATATATATATATATATATATATATATATATATATATATATATATATATATATATTACCAGTAATATAATTATTATATATAGTTTTAAGAAAATTAAAATATGAAAAATTAAAAAAAGTCAGTATTATATTAAATATAATACTGACTTTTTTTAATTTTTCATATTTTAATTTTCTTAAAACTTAATAATAATAAGCATTGAATGTGAATAATATCCTTAATTGAAGAAAACAGCCAACATATTTACACCATATTTTACACTCTGTATGTGTAACTACATATATTTGTATCATATACATAATGTATACATATGTATGTATGTATCTATGTGCCTTTGGGATAAATAACACCCGGATATATATGTATATGTATATATATATATATATATATATATATATATATATATATATATATATACATATATATATATATATACATATATATATATATATATATATATATATATATATATATATATATATATATATATATATACATATATATATATATATACATATATATATATATATATATATATATATATATATATATATATATATATATATATATATATATATATATATATATATATATATATATATATATATATAGAGAGAGAGAGAGAGAGAGAGAGAGAGATTAGGGCTGACATTGTCCCTGTTTTTACCAAGGAGTATCTTTTTCCGGATATTCCTGGAATTCCCGATATTTTTCTCAACTCTTAGTTCATCCGGATATCTTTAAAGTTTTAAATACCTAAAAGTTTAAGTATATATTTGTGTAATATATTTAATTTATAAGTTTTTTTAGTAATTACTCATACAAAAATTAGGAAAAGTTTCCAAACATTTGAGAAACAACTCAGCTGAAATCAAAATTAGGAAGAAAATATACTTGATATTTTACGAAAAGTATTTTTTGGATTTTTTTAATCTATGTTTTATGTATGAGAGCGCAGTGAAAAAATTATTTTTAAAAGATTTGGCACTGCACTCTCCTACGTAAATATCGGGAAAATGTCAATCCTTTTTTTTGTTTTATTTGCAGACTTTTATTTTACTATAATTCTATATCAAATGTCTTCCTCAAGAAATAAACGTAGAAAAGTTGCCATTGCAGTTAGTAATTTCTTGAATATCACAAATGGTTTGTTTTATCATAAATTTTATGTTTTTACAGAATCATTTTTATTTATCAATTATAATATTTACATTAGTCATTGCCTATGTTGTTTATATTAATTATTACATTATATATTCTGTTTGGTTTGTTAAGTTATGATTTGAATTATTGTTTAACTTTAATTTTAGAATATCAAGATGATAATGTCCATTTGGAGAAATCCAAAAACTTAAACGACCATTCTGATTGTTCTGATTTTGAACCTGTTTCAGATACTTCATTGCATGAAGAATGTAATGGAGATGAATCTCCATTACATTCTTCATGCAATGAAGTATCTACCAGCAGTGATTCTGGTGGCGAAAATCCAAGTGAATTTGAGTTGCAAGTTAAGTTACGTGATTATGCAATTGAAAACAATATACCTTATGCAACAATGGACAAATTGTTATGTATTTTAAAACCTTATCATACTCAATTACCAAAGTTTTCAAAAACATTATTAAATTCAAAACCTGTAACAATTAGAATTGTGACTAATGGTGAATTTTTATATATTGGTGTTGAACCTTTTCTTCAAACATTGAGTGTGTCTAACCCATCGATTATCTGTTTGCAATTTAATATTGATGGTGTTCCAATCTATCACAATTCTGAAATATCATTTTGGCCAATTCTGGTAAAAAAAGTTAACGATTCATTGTCACCAAAAGTTGTTGCTATTTTTAGTGGAAGGAAAAAACCAAATTTACAAGAGTTTTTTTCCCAATTTATTACTGAGATAAATCATCTTAAAAGCAATGGTGTTACAATTAACTCACACTTGTGCAATATTCATATAACTAATATTGTATGTAATGCCCCAGCACGTGCATTTATTAAGTGCATAAAGTATCATTCAGGATATTCCAGCTGTGACAAGTGCACTGTAGAGGGTGAATGGCTAAACAAGGTTGTATTTTTAGAAACAGATGCACCCTTGAGAACATTAGAAAGTTTTGTTTCTAGAGAAGATGATAGTCATCATATTGGTGTGACACCTTTATTAGGAATTCCTATTCATCCAATTAATAGTTTTCCAAATGACTATATGCATTCTGTCTGTCTGGGGGTAGTACGAAAACTTCTAAATTTTTGGTCTTCTGGACCATTCAGTGTTAAGCTATCTTCGCAATCACTAAAAACAATATCAGCTCGATTAATTCATGTTTCATTGTTCTTTCCATCAGATTTTAACAGAAGACCTCGTTCATTGGAGAGTATGAATAAGTGGAAGGCAACAGAATTCCGATCATTTCTCCTTTATTCAGGGCCTATTGTTTTGTGTGATGTTCTTAGTAAACCAGTTTATGAACATTTTCTTATTTTACATAGTTCCATATTTCTATTATGTAGGTCACAAGAGCATGAAGTTATTAAATATTGTGGTGAGTTGCTGAAAATATTTGTTACAAAGGCTGTTGCCTTGTATGGCAAATCATTTATGTCATATAATGTGCATTCTCTTATACATCTGCATAATGATTGTTTACAATTTGGACCGCTTGGCAATTTTTGTGCTTTCCCCTTTGAAAATGCTCTTGGTCATTTAAAACGAAGAATTCGAAGTGGATATTTGCCGCTTCAGCAAGTAGCTTCTAGTCTTTCTGATAACAAATCTGAACATTCTAGGAAAGTACACACTGATGGAGTTTCCCTTCAACATTGTAGTGGGCCTTTACCAAATCAGGACCATTTTTTGCAATATAAAGTGTGCCATTAGAAAAATCAAAGGTTTTCAAGCGGTTTGCGGGATAGTTCAGTTATGGTAGGACAAAAGTGCTATCAAATAGTTAACATATTAGCAGAAGACTTAAAAAATCCATTATTCTTAGCCAGGTGTTTTACTGTGCAAACAAACTTTTATGACGTTCCACTTGCAAGTTTAAAACTATCTATTTTTAAAGTTAGTTGTCTTAGTGACACTTTGCATACAATTCCATTTTCTGATATTGTTATTAAATGTTGTTGTCTCCCATATTCTTCTTCCTTTGTTGTAATCCCATTATCAGAGATTTGAGTTCTTATTATATTTTAGAGTTCTATATATTTTTTCAAATAAGATAATAAATTTATATTATACAGTATTTGTAATTTGTTCCATGTCTATTTATGGTATACAACTTGTATTTCATTTTGTTATATCTATTTATACATTTCTTACAATTGCTTTAATTTATTTGGGCAGCTTTTTAAATATATAGTGTAAAATTATGAACTACATTTACACATTTTATTATTTCTTTGTTTTGAAGTTTAAATTTGCAGAATGTTAGTTCTTGAAGTATCTTTGAACGTTGTTTAGCAGGATGTAATTGTATTACTCTTATATGGTAAATAATAGGTAAATAATAATAGGTCTTATATGGTAATTAACTATTTTTTTTTTCTTTATTTAAATTAAGCAATTTTTTTTTTTTAATATTTTGTATTTGAAATTTTTTTTATAACAGATGTCTTATTCAGTAGTTATTTTTAATATTGATAATGAAGTGGCAACAGTGTCCAGTAAATGGTTTAAAGATTCAGGATGCGTTTTGTGGCCCAACTGTAGAGTAGGGAAGAAATTGCAAAACATGTTACTAAACCATGAAGAGCCAGGTGCTGACTGGATTTCTTATGAAGTACGAGTGTTGTCCAGTAACATCTGTAGGTATTTTTACTGAGAGTAAGCATTTCAACTGACTAAAGGAGACATGTTTTCTTAATTTTTTAATTATGAAACAGTTTAATTTAATATCTTTATAATTTTATTTTTGTAGTAACTCTCAAATCAGCAAGGGCAAAGGAGCGACTAGCTGAGGAAAATTCTGATCTTAGTTCAGCTGAAGATGGTAGCAGAATTATATATGCCCCTAGCAGATTTAACAGTCAAGAATATTGTCAACCACCATCCAAAATCAGCAAAATAACTTCAAATAGCCATACCACTTCCTATTTAAACAACCCCTTGATTCCTCATGCACCATCACTAGTTTCTAATCCATCTTTAATTCAAACTTCAGCATCGTTTTCTAGTAAGCTAAATGTTTAATTTTGTTCAACAAGAACAGGCTTGTTGACTGATTAATCATTTAATGATCTTAATAACCATTTTTTGTATCTGCATATAGCATTTTTTATATCTGCATATAAGAATATGTTAGATTTGTATAACTTTTATGTAGCTAGTCAATACTGAAAAAAAAATTTTTTTTAGATGATGATCATAGCATATTTAATACGCAAGAGTTTTTACGACCCTTAGCCAAAAATAGAAAATTTAATTCTAACTGCCAAACCACTTCATCTAATAACTATCCTTCATTTCCAGATAAATCAGCACTAGTTCCTGATTTTTCAATTTCAAACTCTGTTCAAACTCCAACACCAATCTCTAGTGAGTTACTTAATTTTATTCTGTTGAAGATTATTCTTTAAAATATATTGAGCAATGGCTTTTTGCTACAATTCCTTATTATACTGAAGATGTTTTTGATTATTAAAATATTTTTGTTTTATGGCTTGTTTTATAACATAAGACAGTTTAATCTTTTATTATCGTTAATCATAATCTTAAATTAGTTCTCGTAAATCATAATAAGTAAAATCAAATATTTTACATTATATAATACAAATTATTTCTCCATCTGCATTTACCGGTTAAGGAATGGTGTTATAATTTGTTCTGGATCTGTTGTTACGTTACCAGAAAGTTTTTATTATTTTTTAGCTAATGTTCCTTGTGCACATCATTGTACGCATGTTGTTACGTGGTTTGAGAAATTATTTAAAGAAATACAACAAATGCTTGCAGAACAGACTGTGATAAATCATCGTTTAGATCAACAATGTCAAAATGAGCATCAGCATGTAGATAGCAATTTTTTGAATTGCCTTCCACTTGAGAGTGAAGTTGATTTTGAACGATTCGGTATAGAGATAGATAGTGACAATGGAAAAAGAACTTCTTTGGTAAGTAAACTTTTGTGATGTTTCTGTTAGGTATTCTATGGGTAAAATATTTGAAGGCATTTAATTTGGGTTGTTTGAGCAAATTTGTCTATGTTATTTATATAAATATATAAAATTGTTTTTTTAAAGTTTATGTAAACCAAAATGTACAGCATAAAATGGATATTTTCTAATTGTTGTTCCTGTTTAGATACGTTATTTGCGGAAGAGGTCAGACTCAAATGTCAACAAGACCATACTAAATATATTGAGAAGTTTATTAAAGGACAATGTTCTTAGTTGTTATTCTAGAGATGGGAAACGCGGAAAAAAAAGTTTTTCTTCAGCAAAGGGAAACTTTGTTTCCATAATTCAAGGTCAATATATTTAATATATATGAAAATTACAAGTATTACTATGTATAAATTATATATTATCTTATTTATAGTTATATATTACCCTAAATGAATCATTAAATGTATATTTATATATATATATATATATATATATATATATATATATATATATATATATATATATATATATATATATATAAATATATATATATATATATATATATATATATATATATATATATATATATATATATATATATATATATATATATATATATATATATATATATATATATATATATATATATATATATATACAGTTATGGCCATTGAAATCTGACCACCAGTATCATTTTACTTAAAACTAGTTTAATGTAGTAATAAACAATTGTATTATAGCAATAAAAGAATAACAGTAGCAATTAATGATTATAATGTAACATATCGTGCATATTTAATGTTTATATTAATGTTTTTTACTCTCAGGTTCGTTGAATTTAATATTTAGTGGCACCACCATGTGCTTTTAAGACTGCATTAATGCGATCTGGCATTGAATCCACGAGAGCCTAACAATATTCTGGTGTTATTTCAGTAATCCAAGCTTGACGAATTTTGTGCGCTAGATCGTCCAGTGATGTAGGATTAGTTCTGGATACTGCTGACTTTAACTTGATTGATTGATTAACTGCTGACTTTAATGCGATCCTATCACGGATGTTCTTTAAAGACAGTCACGGTTTGAGGGCTGGACGACGAGAACATAGGCCTACATCTTTCAATAAACGTCTTCTTATTGTTCAAGTGCTGACTGTAACGTCATTAGGTAGATCTACCCTGATTTGTGTGCTGGATATTGTTTGATCTCTCACAGCAGCCCTGCGTATCTTATTGTCTGTTTGTTTGCTAGTAATTCTAGCTTTACCAAAACGTTTTCTGGGCGCAGTGGATCCCGTGTCTTTGATTAGTTGTATAATATCATGAACAGTTGATTTTGGCATTCGATATCTTGCATATATCTGATGCTCACTTGCACCATCCTCCCATAAAAGTTTAATATTAGCACGAACACCTTTCTTCGTAGTCATAATTAAATTGTGACAGTTAAATGATAATCCATACCCTACAATGAGATATATAGCTTAATAAATTTTACAGTGCAATAAAATAAACACTAATGTGATTGTCTAAAAGCTAATTAACTAATCATTGATAACAGGGAAGAAAATAAATTGATTATTCGAGTGCATAGGCTGTTTTTCTTTATATTCAGCAGTGGTCGGATTTCAATGGCCATAACTGTATATATATATAAACATATAATAATTTTTTGAGACCCTATTTAATGTCTTTTGAATGTGATTAGTCAAAAAATTTAATACATTTAATTTAGATGTTGTTTTGAAAGTTCATAAAGGTGTGTCGTTGGTCCAAATAAATGTTGCGATTTTGGAACAATTAAAGAGACTCAATCAAAGAAATCGAAATTCTAAGTCTACAACAGCTGAAGAAACTACACCTGAAATTCCAGAGTTTGATTAAAAACCAATTATTTTATTAATTTTAAAATAAATTGTTAAAATATAAAGTCTTTTTTATTGTTGAGAAGACTTATAAGTTTGAAAGGTCCTGCTTACACACTTTGGTTAGCACTATGACATGTTACTTATTTAGGGATAGGCGAGGGCTTCAGTACATACACTGACTGATTTAGGGAGAACTCGCAAGTGAGTTAAAAACACATCCATTTTATTTATTATTTATTTTATTTTTTTGAAGAAGGTCAGGTTTTGATTATTGATGAAAAAAATTTTTTGTTTTATGACATGTTTTAATAAAACATGTCATATAACAAAACAGTTAAATTTTTGTTCATTAAAATCGACAATTATCTTCATTTTATATTTAACATAATAAATATTTTAAATATAAAATATAACATTTTATTCTTTCATTTACAGGTGGGTAAAGTTTTTGTTTTATTTTGAAACGAGAACATCATTTGCTCTGCAGCTGACGTTCTTGTTTTAACAAAAAATGTGCTATTTTTTTGATAATGTTCCTTATTAACATCATTGTAACAGTTGTTTTTTGCACGGTTATTTAGGTTGCTTGCTTAATTTCATTAAATAATTTATGTTATTATGGCTGCAAAATTATTTAGAAAAATACAGCAAATGCTGGAAGCTAGAACAGGAAGTTATAAATCAGCATCTTGATGGTAAAATGAAAATCAACAACTAGTAGCACTTCTTTGAATTGTCTTTAAATTAGAGTAATGTTAATTTTGATTGGTATGGAGATAGATGCATACAAAGGAAAACGAACTGCTGTTATGTGAGTTTTTATAAATTTTAGTCTTTCTGAGGGCCTAATTAAAAAAAAGATACTCAACTTGGTTTGTTTGGAACAATTTAGGTTATATGGTATAAAAACTTAAAAAATTAGTTTAATGACTAAACAGCTTTAAAAATAATCTTTTACTACAAATAATAAACAGACATTAAACAAAGTTATATACTTAATTGTAGGTAGTATGTTCAGCTGTACATAGTATGTTTTTGTAATTTTTCTTTATATCTAGATTTTTGGAAGAGGTTAAACAACAAGATGTAATTCGAGGTAAAAATATTTAGTATATGATATTTTTTATTTACTTAGATATGTGTGTGTATTTGACATATTTTTGCCACACAAAACATATTTTTTGTGGGGAAGTAATATAAGTTTGGGAGGAGAACATTCTTGAGACACTGTAAAAGTATTTTAAATAGTATTGCTTATTTTTGTTGTTGGTACATTCAGATACTGTTTGGTATGTTTTTTAGAAACTATTTGTACGTTTAGATATTGTTTCTAAAATTCTTAAAGACGTGTTATTCGTTCAAGTAAACGATGCTGTTAAAGCAGGTTGTCTGAGCAGTTAAAGAAACTTAATCAAATGATTCAAAATTCTCTTCTTTAAGCAGCCGAAGCAACGATACTCGAAATGCCTGGAATGGATAATTAACCAAGTAATAGTTTATTAACTTTAGTAAAAGTTTATTAACTTTGAAATAAAGTTTAAAAATAAAAAATGTCTTGTTTATGTATATTGTATTATATATGGCTTATAAATTTAATTGCCGAAGTTACATAAATAATACTAAAAAAAATTCTATAAAGATAAGTATTTAAAACAACCTATCAGCGGCCAATAGTACCGTAAAAAATACGAAAAAAAAATACGTATTAATACGTTCAATAGATACGTATTTAAAACACCCAATCAGCGGCCAAAAGTACCGTAAATAATACGAAAAAAAAATACGAAAAAATACGTATTAATACGTTTAAAAGATACGTATTTAAAACGCCCAAACAGCGGCCAAAAGTACCGTAAATAATACAAAAAAAATATACGAAAAAATACGTATTAAATACGTATAATTTTGTTTGGGAATGACCTTGTCAAATTTACTAGAGCTTCTTTTTAAAGATTTTTAGAATTTCATCAAGCATGGAAAAATTTAATTGGTAACCACATAGAAGTATCCGTTAAAAGCTATTGTTATTTTAGCGAAAAAGATGAAATACAACTTCAGCAATAACTTCTAGTAGTTTCAGATTTAATTTAGACCAATTTTTGGGATCATCATTTATGTTATCAAATATTTACAAATAAAATTATTTTAGAAAGGGTTTTAAAAAAAGTTGAAAAAAACAAAGATGAACTGCAAGTATCTTTACAACAGGATAATAGTTTGGATTTACTAGAGTCTAATACAAATTTTGATTCAAAAAGACAAAGTAAAAGGTTGCTATCTGTCGAACCTAAAAGAATAAAAATATCCAAGTCTGCAAATTTATTACCAAGGATTTGTCTCATCTGTAAGAAAGCGCAACTAAAACACTATGATCAAGTAATTCTTTTATTTAATAGTATAAGTAAAAAATTAATAAGGGTGTACAGGGTGGCTCATAAGTTTTGCCCCCCCCCCCCTTGCATGACTTCAGTTAGTCTAGTAATCAGACAAAATATGTTTATACGCAATAAGCACTATATTTCAATCATATTACAAGTCAGGTCATACAAAATGAATGTTACAGTTTATTAATAACTACTGTGTCCTCCATTGGCAGCACGAATTTCCTGGACACGTTTTGGTAGTGATTCAACCAACAAACAGAGATAGTCACCAGTCACAGAAGACCACTTGTCTTTCACCCGTTCCACAAGTTCAACTCTATTTTTTGGCTTAGGAGCCTCAAAGACACTTTGTTGAAGCAAGTTCCATAAATGTTCAATTACATTTATATCTGGACTGTTCCCAGGCCACAATTCTTTTGGATTCATCGACGGAAAGTTTTTTGCACAAAATTGCTGAACGATTTTTGCTGAGTGTGCAAGTGCACCATCTTGCTGAAAAAGAATCATAACTTGATTAAAATTTTTTTTCTCTTATCAGCAGTATCACCTTGATGGTTTCTTGTAGTAGCCTCAACATATTTTGGTAAAATGTGATTCATGTAATAATCAGCATTAACTGTCTGCTTCTCTGGCACAACATCCAATTCAGTCAATCCATACCGTGACATACCACCACACACCATAATTTTCAATCCAAACTTAGGACGAACAGCTGGAGTGATCTTTGATTTGTCATCGGTCCGTATTCGCATATTCTGACGATTTGGAACTGGAAATAACTCAACAGGGCTTTCGTCTGTCCACAGAACATGGCCTCGTTTTTGTCTACCAACATGGTCATCTTGAAGGTCACCATTTTGTTCCAACCGATCACAAAATTTCAAGCGATCATTTTGATTTTTTTCAGTCAATAGTGGTTTTATTGGTTTATGGTAAGCCACTTTACCCCATGGTTGATGTTGAACAAAACGTTGCACTGTTGAACGAGAAATTTGTTTTTTACGTGTAATGTATTGTTCAGAAAAGTTTAACTTTTTCGCACAACTTCTTGTTGATGAACCCCACTTGTCCTTCATTTCACTGGTTATTAACTTCTTTGATGCTGGTGACAACACAGTTGGACGACCACAGCGTTTCTTTTCATTAAAGTTTGTATTAACAGGTTTTCTCCAGTATCGCTAAACGCTTTTCTCACTGCAGCCAACTGCAGCAGCTACTTCAGCCTTAGACTTTTCTAATTTACCTAACTCAGCAATGCGTTTCTTCAGTGATGCTGTTAAATTTGATTTTCCAATAACTTTACCCATCTAAAAATACAGATGCAGATACAGAAAATATAGAAAATAGCACATTGTCCTCTTAACCTAAAGTTGGCAAAACTTTTGGGCCGACTGGAGATAACAAAGAACTCAAATTGCCAAAAAAATAACCTCAAAGTAAGCTGGTTTAAAACTGAAATGTGTTAGACAGATGTAATTTAACAAATCTTAACAGAAAATCTTGCAATGAATACATTCACCACTTTTCTAGGTCTATTTTTATATAGCACAAATTTTTTTATAATTCGAATTTATAACTTTTACAAACCTCTGGTCAAGTGTAAAATCGACTTGCAAAGACATATCAATAAGATCGTATGTTCTCTTTTCTTTTTCAGTAAAAACGATGAGTAGTCATAACGGGTGGACAAAACTTACGGGCCACCCTGTATAAATAAAAATAAATAAAAGAGTCGTTCACTCTACTAAAAAAATGATTTTAATACATTATTTAATGTTAAGAATTATTTATATAGGTTATAATAAGAATTAATTATATAGGAAATTTATATAGGTTTCTGAAAATATGGTATTCTAAAGTTTAACTCAATCATTAACTTGCAACTGCCGGCAAGTTGCGACCCGCAGCTGAACATAAAAATGACACAAATATTTTATTAGAAATAGGTAGCAATATTCTATTAGAATAAGCGCGTTGAAGTTATCACGCGCGTTGCTACAAAAGTTATGTAAGGTATGTTCAAAATGACAATGTTACAAAATCAATAACTTCAAAAACTCTCATTTACAAAGATTCATATGATTTATTCTGTAAAGAAGTAATTATAGATTGGTTGTTTAAAGAAAGTGAAATAATTACCATGTCACGTTTATACAAGATATTTTTGCGATATGTTAAAAATAACGAGAGCATAGGCGCATCTTCTTATAGAAAATACAGAACGGCTACGTAAAGATTATCCAGATCTATTATTTTATAGGCGTGAAACAAGAAATAAAAGTGAAATTGTTTTACATAACAAACTTTCAGCATGAAAAATTGCAGAAAACATGATTTTAAGTGATGATACAGTAACAATTGAGTCAGATAGTGACATGGATTAATTAGTCAAAAAACCTGTTAACTACGAAAATTATTTGTTACATATGCATAAAAGTGCTGTTGGTTTACATGATGAAATCCGAAATTGTGAATCATTGAGTATGAGTGGCCACCAACAGCAAATGACTTTAATTTACAAAATGGCAAGAAAATGGTTTCCAATTCTATTTAATCATTTATGCTAGATGTTAGGATTTTCTAATACAGTTCCTGATCATTACACATACATTTTGTTATCAAAGGAGAAGAAGCAATGTGTTTTGAATATTTCACAGGATATAATCTATGCTGCTTCA